ACCATAATAAATAACCACATTTAAGATTTCAGTCAGTATAAGAAATGAAAAATTGAATGCAGTAAATCACATGAGACGAATCATTGCTATTATTTGCCAAAATAAACTAAGCAAAATAATTTGCAAATATTTACTTAAAACAATGCAAAGCGCTATATTTTTTTCCCTATAAATACAACATGAATATGATTAAAATTTTTTGGGAGAACAGATATGCAATACTCAAGCACTAGCACAAGTACTAGGCTTAACAATTGCTTCTGATGTACAGGAAAACACAAATGAAATTCCCAGAAAATCAATTTATAAATAAGGATATATTGTACCAAGAAATAATCTGAAATAAAACAAAAAGATTGCCAAGTGTGAAACAAACAAAATCATTAAAAACTAACACCAAGCAACATGATGTGAGTACCAAGAAATAAAAAGAAAGAATACTTATCTAGAGACAATTAATGATAACAAACTTATTTTACTTAACTATTATACTTTTGAAATTAGGAAAATAAACTACGCAATAGTATAAAATAGTTTAACAATTTAGAAATTAATATTGTATCGATTTGCATTATTCAAAATGTATTTAAACATCAAAATTTTATCTTAGCAAGCTTTGTGCATATAATTTCAAATTTAACTCCTTATATTCAACACTTATAATCTCTCACGTATAAAAATTACTTTAATAGTAAAATATTTCGTATAAGTCAATTTATAACTACCATCATATATTTATTTGAAAATCTAAGAACATATAGCAATTCATTATTATTAGTTATTCTTAATGATTTTAACAACACCCCTCATATTGATAACAGCATTGATTGCTGAACATCTTATTTATCGAAGCTTAAAACTATTGAATTAAAAACTACACTTGTATAATAATATCATATTTTATTAATAAAGAAACTTATATATCAAATAAACTATTTATCAAATATTTATTGTATAATTAAATAACTTGTTAAGTAATAGACTTACTAGATTCAACCCCAATAACAAAAAGAAATTAGTGAATAAAAAGACTAATTTACTCAACAGTAAAACTCTTAGACTGATCACCTATGATGATACTATATTATTGGAAACAATATAAGTGAAACCATTTTCCATGAATATTCATATATCAAAATTATTTATCCTAACAATACTCACATTATATTTAAAACAAACTCAAGCACAGATTATTATTTCTATCCCAATTACACAAATACCAATGACTACAACTCTAAGCTCCACACAGTTAAGCCAAATAAGCCAAACCATATTCCTGAATACACAACCAACTATTGTTATAATAACACTGATACCAACAAACAATTCAAACAATACTTTAGTCACTATTATTGAAGTATTAGGTGCATTATTGACCATATTAACAACATTAATTACAACTCTTATTATTTGCTTTAAATGTTTACAAAAGAAAAAGAAACAATATAAAAGTCAATTCAGCAATGTGCATAACAACGCACGCCCATTTACACAACTACCAAACAATACTTTAACTCTACAACAAATCTAACAATTAGCCGTACAATTAACACAACCACAATCACAATCATAACAACAATTTCCTGTAGTAGGAACTAGATTACCATTACATTCTAAACCTGGGAAGAAAGCTAAATTTGCAAAAGTAAACAACCTGAATCAATCAGAACAATCAGTATCTGAAGATAGATATTCCACTTGAAACTAATCTATTATACTCTGATATCTATTGTTTATGAACCCAAACAAACAAATATTAATTGTAACTTTAATTGCAATTATACTCACAGCTAAACTTACAGCAATACTCTTTATTGAACTACAAAACATACAAATTATAATATCAATTATTATTCTAATTCTAACTACAATATCAGAAATAGTCATTGTACTATTAGCTACTTTGATACCTTACCAATTTAATGACAACTGTCCAAACAATAACTTCAACCTTAATGTCTAAAACAACAACTTGTACCAATTCTATATTTGAACTAC